ACCCTGGTTGCAGTTTGTCCCCAGCCCTGGTTGGGTTGTGCAGGAGGCAGCCACTCGATGTGTCCCTTTCATGTTGATGTTTCTCTCTCTCTCTCTCTTCCTCTCTCTCCCTCCTGCTCTAGCTGAACAAAAAATGGAAGAATGTCCTCGGGTGAGGATAAATATATATATATATTTTTTTTTATTCAGCTGGTAAACAAATACTGATTTAAATTTTCATTTCATTGAGTACTAGTGAGACTGAAAATTTTTTCATGTTTCGAATATGTATTGACCATTTGTGTTTATTACTTTTTTTAAATGTATTTATTGATTTGAGAGAGAGAGGAAGGGGGGCAGAGAGAGAGGAAAACATCGAATCTTTGTTTCACTTATTTATGCATTCATTGGTTGCTTCTTGTAAGTGACCTGACCAGAATCGAACCTGCAACCTTGGTGTATTAGGAGGATGCTCTAACCAATTGAGCTATCCCACCAGGGCTGTTTATTAAATAGTATCTTCAGATGAGGAAACTGAGATCCAGAGAGGTTAAATGACTTGTTCAAGGACACACAGATTCTATGAAGCAGCTTTTTTTCATATTCTAAAATGAAATGGGATTGTTCATCAGTTTGTCAGAGTGAGCAATAAAGCCTACGGAGCAAAGTTCTTTTGAATCCAAGAGTTTAAGGACATTTAACTAATAGATATGTTTCTTCAGGCCAAATCATCTTTATCAAATATTGCTTGGAGAATTATTATGAAGATTTAATGAATTACAGTTCTTTTACTCTGTCATTTATAAGTCTGAGATAAATTAAATCCAGATCAAGAGTAGAAGACAAAGAAGAGATTGTTTAAACGAATGCCTGAATATGCTGACAGCATCCTTCTTACCATCCATCAGTCATGAATGGCTGCACAGTTGTAGATATTGAAGGAGACTCAGGTACCCTGTGACCTCCTTCTCCCCATTACGACAGCATGAGGACAAAGCAACCAACTGAAGATGTTTCATGATGGTAGAATGCAACCAGCAAACTCTTTCTAGAGATGCTCAGCAGCTGATATCTGACTTTTTTTTCTGAATGCGTTTTTTTCATTTCTATCCCAATTGATATGTAAAGCCAGATTGTCACCTGCTGCTTTAACCTTGTGTGGCAAAGCCAAAGACTGCTCTTTAATAACTAACAAAAAAATTCAGGAGTCAACAATTAAAAAAAAAGAATAACAATAAAGGAAATGCCAGAGTTGCTGAAATGTTGTTTTTTTTTTTCTTTTAATTTAAAAAAGCACACTGGCCACATGTAATCTAGTAAGAACTGACCAAAGGTCTATTTCAACAGGAGGAAGGAATTTGAGGGAACTGAAAAAAGGAGATGTTGACATTCTTTTGGAGGGGGAAAACTCCTAACAATTCCTTCTACTTGGCTTTAAATTCATATCGAAGGAGAGTAAAGTTTTTGTTCCTGGGAGCTCAACCTCCCCCTAGGAAGAGGGAAATGCCTCTTAACACATGTCCATTTTGAGATTATTTGTTTTCATGACTATCCCAGGCCAAGAGAGTAAAAGAATAAAATTTAACCACTAGGGGTCTCCACTCTACCCCCTCCCCAAACCATTTCTTGTGTTAAGTAGAGAAATCACGGAGTATTAGGTGTCAGTAGCAGCAGTGGAGACAGAAACTCATGAGTTCAATCACCGCCCCATAAAATGCATGAAGTTTCCACTGGAGCACAGCATGTTAGACCTCAGTGTCTCCTGGATATGGACAGCTGGATTCCTGAAGATCTTGCATAAAGTAAAATTCACTAACTCAAGAGTAATTTTCCTGTAACAACTTGGTTTGCTCCTCATAGAAGAGGTACTAGTGATTTAAGGTACGGATTAGTGCATTTAGCTTGAGCCAGACTTCCTAGTCCAATCCTTGCTCCTCCTCTCACTAATGGAGAGAAGCAATTTACTTAAACCTTTTTTTGCCTCAGATTCCTCAGCTGTAAAATAAAGATGATAATACACAATATCTCATTTGATTGATTCTTCAAACAGCCCATTGAAGTAGCAGTAGTCCCTACCGCATTAAGTTGTTGTGCGAACCCTAATAAGTTAATACGTGTAAAATGGTTAAAAGGGTGCCTAGCACATAAGTGCATTCAAACTATTTGCTTATTATTTTTTATTACCAGCTAAAGTGGAACAGCCATGTAACAATAGCATAAGTGCAGTTTGTAATTCACTTGGTCTACCCACTTTGAACTTTTTAGATTGTTTTATTTTTAATTTAGAAGATTTCCATTATTTCAAAATGAGTGTACATATTTAGACTTTATCTTTGTATACTGCACTATTTTAAATTTGCCTAAATTAAGCATAAAACAAATATGCACTATATGGGCATTAGGCATGAATGTGCAATAGATTTAGGGTTCATTGCAATTCTAAAGGGCAATTACTATTGATTAATATGCAAGTGTTCTTGTGCTTCTGAAGTGGTTTGGGGTGTATACACAACGGGCAGGCAACAAGAGAGAGGGAATTAGAAGATGCCTGCCCAGGTTGACTCCAAGTAAAACTACTGATAATACTTCCTGTGTGCCAGGCACTAGTCTAAGTTTTGGGGGAGAGGAAGGAAGGGGGGGGGGAGAGAGATAGATGAGAAAGAAACATCTATCAGTTGCCTCCTGCAGGAGCTTCAACTGGGATTGAACCTGAAACCAGAGTATGTGCCCTGACTGGGAATCAAACCAGCCACCTTTTGGTGGAAGGGGCAATACTCCAACTAACTAAGCCACACGGGCCAGGGCTGGTCTGAGTCTTTTATACACATTTTATTCAATTCTTAACAATACCCCCATGAGATAAATACTATTAATGCCCCAACTTTACAAGTATAGAAGCTGAGACAAAAAATTTAAGCCAGTTTTCCAAGGTCGCCCAGCTAGTAAGTGATGGTGCTAAGATTTAAACTTAAATAGTCTACCTATAAAACCTAGATATAATTGTCTTACTACACCTCAGAAAGTTATGATGTACACAGTAAATTTTAGGTTCTTCCATTTTTTTCTCTCTTCAGGGCCTGTTACTTCTTAAATACCGCTCTAGCCACAACTGTAATGGGCATGGGTGTGCTAAGTAAACACTCTGGAAAATACAGAAAGATAGAAAGCAAAAAGAATCAGTTATGATATTATCACCAAAAGACGACCATCATTTAAATTCTGGTGTATTTCCTTCTAGACTTTTTTCTAAATTCATGGTTATGTTTTACATATTTGTTTTACATAGTTGTGATCAAATTGTACATACATTTTTAAATCTTGCTTTTCCCCTTCATAATAACACATGTCTTTCCATTCTACTAGAAAGTTCAAAAACTTCCTTTATATAGGCTGCATAATGTACTGCTGCAAGGCAGTTCCACAATATCTTTACTATTCTTTTTTACTATTCTTTTCATGTTGAACATCTGAGTACTTCCAGCTTTTTTTCTTTTACTGTTGGATGAATATCTTTGCCCTTTTTCTTGATAGTTTCCCTTTTCCAGACATTTCTTCATATCTTCCTCAGCACAAGGAAGGATATCCCTTTATCCTTCCTTCTCTCAAAATTTACTTTCTGGAAAGGAGCTGATAAACTTGTTCATGCTAAAGTGTACATGGTTCCTTCCTGAAGCTTAAATTATTATCTCTTCAAAGAAACGTATATTAATTCAAGCCAGAGGAATGACGCTCTAATCGTGGGATTTTAGTCACCAGGAAATCCAGCTGGGGAGATCCCCCAAACTCCCCCACATTGAGAGTAGACTCCCCAATAGCAAAGAGGTTCCGGGCTTACTAAATGTTAGTAGATCCGAAGAGGAGGCGGTCTAGAGCTGCGAAGAGGGTGACACGGTGAAAAGAGGGAAAGAGTTTGTATCAGCAACGGTGAAAACACCGGATAGAAGAATGGAAGAGAATCGGAAAGTGCACTGGTCAGCGCAAAGTGCATTTGGTACCACTTACCTAGTTTCTCCAGCTGCCTGTTTGCCTTTCCCATGCCTGTGGCCTTAGGGAGGGGAGGGGCCCGCCCACCTTCTCAGATCCTCTCGGTCAAGATCTCAGGCTTAATTACTCTGCCAAGTCTCACAGTTTGGGGCCATGGTCAGCCACAGAGCCCTTCCCAAGGCGTAAAGTGAAGTTCTAAGAGGGCCCATTCCAAGTCCTGGGTCCACAGATGGATGATCTTGCTGGACCTTTACCTCCCGCGACGCAAAGAGGAGAATTAATAATAATACCGGGGGCGGAGGGGCAAGGGGCCTCCTGTGAAAGTTCACGAAGTCCTGTCCTACCCTCCCCACGAGTCTCTTTCCCTCCCTCCTCTAGAGACTGCGTGGGGAAGCAAAGGGACCCAAGACAGAACCCCGTTTCCCCAACGCCCCCTGCCCTAGAGGACCCCACGTTCTCCAGAGACGTGCTGTGAAGGCTGGTGTGGGGGAGACGGACCGGAAGGGTGTTTAGGGCAAAGGCCAAACCAAAAGGGTCAGTGTCTCCTCCCGATCTGGATTAGAGAGAGGAGGAAACCCTAAATGCGAAAACCTAGCCTGACCAGTTTAAAAAAAAAAAAAAAGCGAGCCCGTCCGGCAGAAGGCGGGGCGCAGGTTGGCGGAGCGGCCGCCGCAGCCGCAGCCTCAGCGCTGGGCGCGCTCCCACACTTGTTCCACCCGGACGGCGGGCGCACCACACGCGCCCCCCGCCTCCCCGCCTCCCCGCCCTCGCGCTCCGCCCTCTTTTCTCGCTGGTTGGCACGCGCGCCGCACAGCGCGGCGGCGGCGGGAGGAGCCGGGCGCGCCCGCCACGCATATTGCCCGAGCTGAAGGCGCGGCGCGCGATCGCAGGTGGCAGCGGCGGAGACAGCGGCGGCTGCAGCGGCCAGCGCACACCCTCTCGCCGACGCTCCCGCATCCCGCCGCCACCGCGCCGCGGACCCGCCGGCGGTCCTCCGCCCCGACACGCACCGCCGCGCGCCGCGCACCATCGCCGCCGCCGCGGCTTCCAGCCCGCCCGCCAGCCATGAGGAAGCTGGCGAAGAAGGGATGCGACCACAAGCGCTTCCTGAAGAAGAACTGGCTGCTGCTCTCCACCGTCGCGGCCGTGGTGCTCGGTGAGCGGCGCGCCGGGTGGGGGGCGCGCGCACCCTCCCGCGCTGCCGGCGCCCAGGCCGCGTGCGGGGCGGGCGGGTGCGAGGGTGGGCCGGGCGTTGGCAAACCCAGTGCCCGGGTCCCTGGGCGCCTTCTCGGCCTCGGCGCCCACGCGGGGGCTTCCCCCGCCGAGGGTGGTGTTTGCTGCTTGCGAAAAACAACGCTCCTTGGGGACTCCCATTTGGGTGCTCCACGAGCTGCGGGTTCCTGCTTTACCCAAAACGATCAAGGGGGTTCGGAAGGGGGAAAGGGAAGCAGGTAGCCCTCGGCTCTTCCCTTGTGGCAGAAAACGCGGTTACGTGGGGGCGGGGGAGGGGTGCCTGCGTGTGTTTAATGGTTTCTGCTCCCCAATTTTTGGCTTGAACCTCGCTGCCTGGACAGAAACTGTGGATTACAGTCCGTTCTCAGTTGGACTGGAAGAGGTCCCTTAGCTTCAGGGACAGCCCGGGCAGTAGGATGGGGGTGTTGCCCTTGGTCACCGTGGGCAGTGCTGGAAAGGGGTCTTCCCAGGCAGGGAGCATGAACTGCCCGCACCTGGGCTCTGAAAACCTGCCACATTTGTGCCAAATTCAGTGGTCATGGTGGCGGGAAGAGACCTAGGAGAACTCAGATTTCCCCTTTCCCACCCTGCAGTGTAGAGATGGTCTCCCTGAACGTCCTTGCTTTGAACATTGTTTTTCTAGTGAAAATAATTTTAAGTCATATTTGCTTGTTTTTCAACAAAACTGGATTTGAGTGATTCACTTCTGACAGATCACTAGACTAGGTGGATGTCTGAGCCATTGCTCAGAGGTATGAGTGGTTCCTGTTCAGATTCTGGATTTCTGCCAGGTTGTCTGTTTTACAACTTGGGCCCCAGGATGCCCCTCTTTGGGTTGGAGCCATGCCAATCTCCTTTACTGCGTGAGCTCACTCAGGTGAGGACATGCAGCAGGTGAGACTCCTTCTAAGTCCCCACCTTTGGTTTGGAAACAGAAGCTGGGTTTGTTGGGGGGAGAGCAGGGAAACCTGTTTGTCTCCCAACCTCATGCACCTCCCTCTGCAGCTGCTGCTTCTGCATCTCAGAATATTTGGTGCTGCCTGCTCCCCCATTTATTCCCCCAGATTTGCTCCTCCAGAACTTTATGCAAAGTAAAGCCAGGATTCTAGTAACTAAATAACGTTCTCGAATTGCCTTAGCAGAAGTCGTTTGTGAGAGGAAAGGAGAAAGTAGAGAACCAAGTCTTGACCTTTTTCCCTCTACCATATCTTCCCCTCAAAGGGCCAAGTGGCTTAGGGCAGTTGTAGGGAGGATTTATTTTTCCCCACAATATTTGTTTGTTTATTATTTTTTAATCGTCATCCGAAGATATTTTTTTTCTATTTATCTTCAGACACAGTGAGAGGGAGGGAGGGAGAGAGAGAGAAACATCAACGTGAGAGGGACACAGACTGGTTGCCTTCCGAATGACCCCAACCAGGGGCTCAGTTGAACCACAACTGTGATACCTGCCCTTGACCGGAATGGAACCCACAACTCTTCTGGTCCTTGGGCCCATGCTCTAACCGGTCAGTACTCCCCACAATGTTTAAATGACAGACACCGCAAAGAAAATTATTTGATTTCCCTGTGACTAAATAGATGAATTGGCCTTGATTATTTTCCTCGTGATAAGAGTCCAGAGTTAATGTTAAATCTCAGTTTAAGGACAATTTTGGGGTGGTAATCCTAGGCTGGCATTTCCCTCCCAATACCCTGTGGAAGTGGAATCCTGCGTTTTCAGCCATGGGATTCTCCAGAGATACCTATTCACCATGTGTTGCTGGTTTGGAAAGAATTCTAAGCAGTTGTTCCCTGGCCTTTAGAACCTATTGCATAAGTACATCTTTGGTGTCAAGTGGGATTACATACCTATTTTACATCTTTGGTTCTGATGGTCATTTTCCTCCAGTTTTAATGTGAGTGAGCCCAGGAGCTTCATTCAGAAAGGAAAATCACCATATAAAAAGTGTAAGGGCCCAGCTGAAGTCTTCCTGGACATTTCCTCTTCCAGGAGTCCTCTAGTGTGTCTGCTCCCGGTCTGAGAAGTGTCAGGCCTAGGCCACCCCCAGTGTGCCCATCCATCACAGGCACTCCCTGGGGTCTTCCTTTTCTCCTCTTTCTTCAGCGCACTGGGGCTATGTGGAAATTATACCTTTTGTGTAGTCTGCACGAGCTCATTTGTTTAACTAGAAGTGAAATTCCAGCCAACTTATAGCAGTGACTATCCATAAGCCCTTACTAGGTCATGGTATTGGTTTGTTTTTATAATCTTAATTGATATAGAAAATCACAAACACTCTCATGCAGCTTCCTTTCTGGACCTGTTATTTATTTATTTATTTATTTATTTTTTCCCTGGACCTTTAAGCATATGGATCTTAAGTACAAACTCTTACATTTACTAACTACCCTGACAGAATGTCATCTTCTGATTACAGCCATTGAAATGTTTGGTCACTGCTGTATAATTCAGCATCCCTGACACTTTAAAATATTTTGATTATTAAAATGAGAGGCAAAAGTATGAACCAGCGTAACCATTGACTTTTCAAAACATAGTGTATCTTTATTAGGTGTGAAAGTTCATTCTTTTCATGGACAAGAAGATGCTAAGTACTAAACATTTTCCCAAATTCTTATTCACGAGATAATGGGACTGAATAGTTAAATAACCATCTTTGTTAATTTCTGTGAAGGCCTACAAGGTCCTAGAAATAATATCTTGGATTTCCGGATGAGCGGTCTCTCCTAAATACCATTAGGAACAATTTTCATTGCTTTCATTACATTTCTTACAGGGTTTTCCCTGCTTCTGTAGTATAGTAGAATGAGCACAGAGCCTGGAGTCAGGAGTTCTGGATTTGAATTCTGGCACTGCCAGGCTCTACCATTTAGACAGATCTCTTATTCTCTGGGACCCTCAGTTTCCTCATCTGGAAAATAGGGATATTTGTCATCACCTCATTTGTTACCAGGGTTGATGAACATAGTGTGAAAATACACAGTTGTGTGGGTAGCCCATAATAAGCACCTAATAAATGTTATCTTAAGGAACATCTGAATAGTTTTATTCTGAGGAAGTTAATATTTTCTTATGAAATAAAGCCTCATGGCATTTCTCCGTTCTGCTTAGTGTCTGCCCTATACTATAGTGTTCAAGGTCAGTCAAGTGTTTTGATGACATGCTCTGTCTAGTCAAATACCAGCCTCCAGAATAGTATTCATTTTTTTAAGGGATATTTTTTAAAGGATTAATCATTTTGTCGTGTGCCCCATAGCCTGATTCTCAATTCCTTTAACAGGCAGAAACTCTGAGGGAAGAATTTTTGAGCTTCAAGTGAGAATTCTGTTCAAGCAGAATTGCTGTGTGAGAATTCTGTCCACAGCTTTCTGATTCAAGTCACCCAGCAGTGATCATATCATGTATAATGTTGACAAAGCACTCATGGAATCCTCACCCTGTTCACAGCATAAAGCCCGATCTTTGTGTTCCGACAGGGTATGCTTTATTTCAGTAATTTGGAAAATCTGATTTCTAGCCTATGGATTTTCAGGAAAGGAAATAGATGTTATTTACATGACAGAGCTGGTAAACTTATTCGTTCTGAATAATTTTCTTTGGAGAGCCCAAGGAAGCAATCCTTTCTAGATTTAGATTCTATTGTCTAAAACTGAGAACTATTTCTTCATGTTCTTGGTAATACCCTTGCCTCAGCCTTGCGTCTCCTGCACTGGACCTCCTCTGGGTGTATATCTGGCAGTGCTCATTTGAGTCATGGGATATGCTTTCTTGCTTCGTCTGTTTTTATGTGTCTGTGAAGCCCCTGAGGACAGGGGCAGCTGCAGCTCAGGCTAGTTCCAGGCCCAGCACATCACCTGGATGGAGCCTTGTGTATCGCAATGTTCAAAATGTATTTTTTTATCCATGAAGCTTATTTGTTCTGGCAGGTCCCAGGCTCGGTACTGCTGGGCCTCTAAACAGCTCAGCCTCGGAATATACCTGCAGTAACCAACACTTAAATCATTTGTTCAACAAATATATATTGGGCACCTACTCTTTGCCAGGGACTGTTCTAGAGCTAGAGAATACAGCAGTGAACAAAACAATAAAAATCCCTGTCCTCATGGAACTTGTGTTCAAGTGGAGAGAGGTAGACAGTCAATGGAATAAATGTATAAACACAATAGAGTATGTTAGGTGATGAGTGTACTCTAGGTAACATGAGGCAGGGAGGAGGCTGAGGAGGTGCAGTTTTAAATAGGGAAGGCCCTGTTGAGAAGGTGACAATTGAATTGAGACTAGAAAGAGGTGAGGAAACATGTGCACAGATATCTGGGGAGCATCCTGGCTTGTTTGAGGGAGCCCTTGGGGTGGAGTGAGGAGGGGTGGATGAGGCAGGAGGCAGGAGGCAGACAGAGCACTAGGATGGTGTAAGCTCTTCTGTTGTAAGGACTTTGACTTTTACTGGGAGATGGGAAACCATTAAAAGGTTTTGAGCAGAGTAGTGATATAGTCTAGTTGTAGTTTAATCACCTCTCCCTGGCAGCTGTTTTGACCATAGACTGCAGAGGCAAGGGTGGAAAAAGTTTAGATACCAGTTTAGGAGGCTAGTGCAGTTAACCCACGTATTACTTATTATACTTTTCTAATCTCATTTCCATCAGAGCTAGTGAAATCTTAGGAAATGCTTATAAAAAGTATGTTTGCAACTATAAAGTAGTAGGTGTTTTTGCCATTACATGAATGAGAAAACTGAGATTCAGATAATAACTGGCAACACCAGGTCTTCCTGTTCCTTTCCTTCTCCTCCTCTAGCCTTCTTCTCCTCCTATGTCTTGCTCCCCATTCCTTGCTGGCCCACCTGGGAGCCATGGTTGTCTAGCTGTGTGCTGTGTTGGGGCGGGGAATAAGGAATAAGGGTTCTGTACCATGTACTGAGG